TTATGCTCTATACAGGTAGTTGTGTTACTTGATTTTACTATTGTTGTACCAATGTTTAAAATTATTTCTTATTAATACTATAATTATATCTTGAAGTTATGAAAACTATAATTAATTAAAAAATATACCTATATTAAGTATCTACTACTTACAAATTACATTATTATGAAAAATTGATAACACAATTCTACCTTAGGATTGCTTTTTAAACAGTATGGCCATGGAAATGTTAAAACACTTTAAAATAAAACTATTTTATTTTATTTGATTTTGAAATTTTACAACTAATTTATATAAAAATGTATTCTCTAATTTGTTTGTATATTTCTCTGTAAATAATGAGAAAATTTTAATGGGAAATTATCTGCTATATTAAAATAAAGAGACTAGATTTGCTAATTTAAAACACCTAGATAGCTTTACTTATACTAGATACTTAAAAAAGTGATTTTGAAAACATTACATCTACACTATTAGGTCCTATGCATAATTTATTAAAAATAAATATATTATTTAAATGGAAAAAACAATGTAATATAGTTTTTAATAAGACAATAGATTCAATAATGTCAGATGCAGTACTAGTACATTTTAATCCAGAAATATAAGTAAAATATTTGTGTGATGCTTCTAAATACAGTATAAATGCTATGTTAGTTCATGTTTCTCATTGATGAGAAAGTCAAACCTATTAGTTATGCCTCAATAGTATTAAAATTAATTGAATGAAAATATGCAATAATACAAAAAGAAGCTTTAGATGTATTTTGGAGAGTTAAGACATTTACACAATACTTATTAAGTAGAAAATTCATTCTGTGTTTTGATCACAAGTCATTGTTGGTGGAATTTGAGGGAAATTATGGCATTCTACATATAGCATCAAAAAGATTGCAGGATTAAGCTTTATTTTTGTCGGAGTTCAATTATGAATTGAAATATATAAAAGGCAAAGGTAACAGTACAACTGATAGTTTATCTTGTTTACCATTAAAAATAGGAAATGAAGAAAATGATAATGAGTTCAGTTAATTAGATTTTGTTGAAGGAGTGATACCTTAAGATGTATTAAGAATTAGAATAGAAACAAGAAAGGGTAAGATTAAAAGTTTATAGTTGAATTGAAAAAGGACAGAAAAGATACATGTAGAATATAAGGGCATTTTATTAGAAAAAAATATAAAAACCGGTATTATAATGTGGGAATATAAGGTGATGATTCTATAAACACTGACTGTGTTTATTAAAAGATATGCATAATAATCTAGTATAGCAAAAATTAAAGTAGTTACCAAATTATATTTTTGGTGGTCTGGACTTAACAAAGTAATAAAAACTTATGTAAAAAGTTGTGAAGTTTGAGTATCATGTCAACCTAGTCCAGTCCAATTGTAGATAGACAAGCTAAGTGTACAAAAACTATAGGTCCTTCAGACAAAGTACATTTTAATTTTTTGTTTTTAAATAATACAAATTATTTAATTAGGGTTGATGTTTTTATAAAGTGGTTAGAAATAATGGAGATGAATAAAATAAAGAGAAGTAGTTTAATAAAAAAAATTAAAGGACATTTTTAAATGATAAAACAAATAAAGATGTAATTTTAAACATTTTGAAAAGTAGTTATTTATTTGTGTTCAGAATTTAACCACACTGGATAAAAAATAACTGTCAGGTAAAATTAATATTTGGACGAAAACTCAAAACAAATGTAGAATTTATAAAACCGTTTATGGTAAAAAGCAGCAATGAGAATTTAAAAAAAAAAAAAAATTTAGGAATGAAGTACCTATTCAAATAGGGTGGTATGGTTTGGGTTAGGTTAGGTAGGTGGTAGAGTGTATGTCAGAGATTTTTAGAATTTTTTTTTTTAATGTTAGAAAATAACTTTGATATAAGAAGTTTTGGGACAAAGAAATTATTTATTAAGGTTTAAGGATATAGAGTTAGTCTGGAGGAAACATAAACCAGATAGTAAAAGTGGAGGAATTTAGGAAATATGATGTACCTATATGAAAAAATGAGATTAGAGGAGTTGAAAGCAAGTGAAAAAGAAAAGAAAATTAAAAAAAGTAAGACAACAGATTGTAAAGGGAAAAAATAAATAAATTATGAAATTTTAGGAAAGAATAATTAAAATTTAATAGAAATGGAACAAGAGAAAATGGTTAAGCGTTTTAGAAATAAAAAGGTTTCTATAAACATTAAGATTTATAAAACAATTATTTATTTTATATTTATTATTAAATAGTTATAACCAAAATTGTAAAACAAGTATAATTTATACTGATAAAAATATAATTTTGGGTTATTATGTATTAAATATTAAAATTTTATTAAATGTGTGAATTGTGATTTACCTAGGTATCATTTACTTTGAGTCAGTGCATTGTTTTCAATTGATCTACGAGAATAAAACGTTTGAAATATTTATAGATTTGTCAATTTATAATAGTAATATGAAAAATAATCATCGATCGATGCTAAGTAAACTTGTTTTTAGGAAACTCTTACATCTTTACAATTTTAAAATCGAACCACACAAAGTACCTTAGTTTTGTATCGGGCCACAGACGATTATTTTTATTTTTTCTTACAAAAATATCTCGGCGAGTGTGATAAATTATTACTATTCTCTTGTTACAATAATTTCAATCACTAATACTATTATTATTAGGACAGTAAAAAATACTCAATAAAACCGAATATAACCAACATAGCGTATAGTAATTTTATTTACCTAATTAACAATACTCATGATTTAATTTTAAGACAAACACACTGCTATCTGAATGAAAATTGCCAATTCCCTCTACGGGTCTAGTGTTTCTCAACCTGCGGATCGCCGAAACAACATATAAATCGATACGAACAATTAGGATTCGTAATTTATAAATTCGGTAACGACAACAAAACCGCGAAGAAATCTTAATGTAAGAATCATTATTAACACCCATACGAAGACGATTTATTGCTCACCGTATATTTACAGTGATACGATTAATAAACGGTTTTGAACAGTCAAAGACTGCAATATCCCTATGTTTCATGAGAAATATCGTATTACTACAATTTACTTTTAACGGTACATTGGTAATCCACACGTGCATATAAAACGCACGGGCCTACCTACTTAAGGGTAATTAGAAAAATTAATATTATTCATTTAGGGAGTCGCCCCAGTAAAACGATTGGGAAACACTGTGAGAGATTCGTCTCTGTTCGCCAAATCGATTTCAATTAAAAACACCGCACCGCGGAAACCGACCAACAATCAAACATAACAATTAATAACACGAGTAACAATAGTGATGATTATTAATGTGTAATGATGCGTTAGGTTAGGTTGCGTTATTCGCCCATTTTGTTTATCGATCGTTTTATATTTTCAGAAAATTATCGGAAAAAATTATCATTTCGTTGTCATAGATTAGTTTCGATTGGACATTAAAACGAAAGGTAATTATCGATTATCAATTTGGATTTCGTTGTTCTTCGAACGCTCGCGTACATACCGATACCGTTATTTGTGCAAATAGTATTCATGCAATACAAAACACGACGAATTGTCGTGGAAACTCTTAGGGGCACAAACACAGAATCGTGTAAAAAATAAATAAGTCGCATACCTATTTAAACACGGTCCGGTCTCGGTCTTCTTTTGTTGGGTAGCCGGAAAAACGAGTTTGTGATTTATGTTTCCGTCGGTCCCGTTCTGGTTCTGGTCTCGATCGTAGTTTGAGGAGCGTGCGAAGTCGATTCATTTCGAATAATGTGCCCGCAGAATTGTATTTTTTGTATAATAAAAGACGTTTTGAATTTGTTGGTCAAATTTGTCGCCAAAACTCGCGTCGTTTTTACCCGAATTTTACACGATAATTAACAGTGTCCTAGCTCCTGGACGAGTATGTTTGCCACACAAACGGACGGCATAACGTTAACCAATCAATATTGTCGTCGGAAAAATAATGAAAATTTAACATTGTAACGCGTAATAAAAAAAAAAAAAAAACCAACGCAATCATTAGTAGACGACCTTACGTTTGTCGGGTGACCGCAACTATGTTTTCGTTACCATTGTCGGTAGGTGGTAACCTTTTCCATTTTGTCGGGTGACCGTACGGATTTTACCGCAACAAGACTGTTGCCCCGTTTGTGTCGGTCGGGTCCGGTCGCGCCGCCTTGTTGAAAAACCGCACCGCACGGAGCTCTGGTGCGCGTTTTCCGAATTGTTAAAAAGCCGGTCGTAACATGTCCCGAACGAGTGACGAAAAAAACGTCGCGCGGTAAATAACACGTTTTTATCGGCGGACAATTTGTCGGTTTTTTTTTTCTCCCATAAGAGACACGATATCGATCAATCCGGCGCAGACGCGCGCGCAATATAATTTTATTCCGTGTCTACGGATTATCCCGCGTTTGGCGACGTCCTTATCAGCGTAGCGACCGAACCGACTGGAGGTGGTACTGACGGTAACCACTGGACGGACGCGCAGAGCGGCCAATAACGTCGGTCGCTGGCGTCGGTGCGATCACCGCGTTATAACCTTAAAAGTTTCAAAACCGCTAGATACGAACGCTGCTGCTATCGTCACCCGTGTCATTAAAACGCGAAAACGCCCGTCAACAATAATATTACCTCGGCCGTTCGGACGTCTGTTCGCGGCAGCAGCTCTACCGGTTTTCGATTACGCGACGTAAAACCGCCAAAAGTTTAACCGCGTTTACGGGGCGAGTGTACCTACGAACAGGTACCCGGGGCGCTGCACTCCGGCAAACGTTTTCGATTTGTCGATTTAAAAAATCGTTTTTTTTTTTTTTTCTCCTCCCCCGCCCACCAACCCATCGCGCGTATATTGATTTTGTTTCCGACGTAACAACTATTATTAGCGTCCGCGGCCGTGTAGTAATTCCCCGTTTATTATAACGGCCGACGACGACGACGACGGTCGCGCGCACTTGCCGTTCTTTCCGCGCAAACTATAGGCACCTAAACAAGTATGGATCGTCGTACCGAAAGCGATCCCGCGGCTCCGGTCGACTCGGCCGACACCAGCAGCTTCTGCCCGGGCCCGATAATGCACACGTCAGACTACGGCGCCGCCGGTACTCCTAGCGCTGGCGAACAAGTTGCGCCGCCGTTGAACCGTGGCGACGGCTGGCTCGTCGATCTGGTCAACAATTTCGCCGGACCCTCCGACCAACCGAGACAAGTGAGTTGTTTTGTTTTTTTTTAAATCTACGGGTATTCGCAGATATTCCGGTTTTTTTTTTTCCCGTTGTCGGGTCGTTCTAGAAAAATCTGAACGTTACACTCTACACCGCAATGCTGTGGCTGCTTAATTCTAATATATTATTACTCTGCGGTATAATATCTGCCTATTATTTTTCGTTGTGAAGTCAGTGCCGCTGAAAATCGTTTTCCGATCGCATACGGTTCACAATCTCAATTACCCCGGGCGCGGTCATACGCATCGATCCCACGTTTCCCGCTCATCAAACTTCCATTATTTTGTTTGCGTACGTTCAAAAGTTCGAAAGGCCGCGCCGACACACGAACGGCTCCGATAATAATCTTACGCGCGTGTTGGGTACCGACAACGCTCGAGACCGACCGCGTCGTACAAGTGTCGTTATTTGGCCAAACTGTTGGTGAAGTGATAAGAGAAATAAGGAATCGGTAAACTTGGCCTGTTCTCATTACACCGACGATTGTTGTAAACCGTCACGAACACCGGAGATACTATAATATGGCTGATGCGTTATAGTCTCTCTAGCCGCTGGCGCACGCCTTTGTACACGTCTTTGTGGCAGTGAGTGGCGATGAGGCGCATACGCCGTACACTGACGTAATATTACGACGTTAATTTCGACATACTCATCGTAAATATTAAAAACACAGACAACCACCGTGAACTGAGACGACACGGAAATCGGATCTTGTATTCCATGCATTCCTTAGTTCATCTGTGACGGCATAGATGCCGTCGGTGTTGTTCCTTTTTTAATCCGAAAATCTGACCGCATCAAAGATGGCTTTATCGCCCACCGTGTTTCCGGGTCGGTTGATAAACCGATTTGTTATCTCATTTTTTTATGGCGATAGCCGATATCAGTTGTAATTAATAATTATTATTATTATAGATTAAGTTTTCATGATAACACCGCTTAAACCGATGTTCCCTTTAATAATTCATGGTGCCGTCAGTGATGCCACCGTCGATGCAGACCAAAAGCAGTTCTTTTAAAAATGATAATAAAAAATAATATCTCATACCAATCGAAAAAAAATGAAAATGATTCCAAGTAATAATTTAATGTCAGTTTGTGTGTCAGCCTGTACCGTGAACTAAGATATACAGGACTGGAAAGAGCTGAAATTTTATTTTTCAACAAAATGTAAAAATTGAATTCAAATTTAAATACAATAGAATCCGCTTAATTGGGACACCGTATAAAGGGGAAATCGCTTAATGGGGACAAATTTGCATAGTCCCGAATGAATGTATTTATTTAAGGCAATTTAACTTCGTTTATCTGGGACAAACTATCGGTTATTAGGGACAAAAATAAAAGCGTCTAATTAGATATTCTGACCTAAATTATCTATCTACTTCTTATCGAAACTGTAATTATCTAATCTTTATAGCCCTATTATATAGGTAATTATTTATTTTTCTTCCACTACCACGATAAGAGTCGACTAGCCTACGTACAAAATTGAAAAACTTTGGTTCGCGTTCTTTCGTCTCTGCGTATTAACGTATGTGTGTTTTTTTATTGATCTCGGTTTGTTGTTAATACGTAACAATTATGTCTTGTAAAGATTTAACGTTGATTGAAAAAATTTCTAATCTGAATAAAATTAAAGCTTAACCTCATTCTTCCAGTCTTCGTGAGTTAGAGAAAATAATAGGCACCTCTAAATCGGTACTAAGCCGATTGAAAAACAACGAAAAAGCTATTCGTGAACAGTGGGAAAAATTAAATGACAACAAAAGTACACCTGTAAACAGGAAGAGAAAGCGAGAAGGCAAAGATCCCGAAGTAGACAAAGCTATGAACGAATGGTTTTCTGCTGTTACAAAATAATATTAAATTCAAGCGGTTTCACGGAGAAAAATAAAGTGCTTATTCGGATAATGGGGACAAATAGGTCACCGCCCAATGTGTCCCAATTAAGTGGATTCTACTGTATTTATAGTCCTTAACCCTGCGGTTAATGTTAAAATTAGAATTTTTGAGTTTTCGTTCGTAGAAATATTAAGTTAATAACGTTTATCTTTTTCTTCAAAAATGTTTCTGTTTTATATGAAATCTGTATTCTTTTATTTCTTTTTCTTTTTTTTTTTTTTAATCTTCATCGATTCTACCTAGTTGATATTTTGTCTTTTGACGACCCGCAAGGCGGGCAGTCCGCTTGATAAAGTTGTTATACATATATATCGTTGTTATTGTAGGTACCTGTCTGTACAACCCGATTCTGAGAACTGTTGTCCCATCGACTCGCCGTATCTGATAATTTTAATTTCAAACGCATACCATTCGGTTTATTTATAGTTTTCTCGTAATTTTCTAAGTTCACCCACATTTACCAAAATGTATTATACATAGAAAAAATGTTGACGTAAAATATGATTATTACCGCCGTGGCAACGGTCTCCGGGATTCTAGGTTCAAGTCATTACTCTGCGGTTTAAGTGTCGGCCGGTCTGTTCCGATAAAAATTTGTTTTTTTTTCGTCATCGGTTTTTTTTAAGAGAACTGCTACGATGAGTCCCGCCGACGCCCGTCTAAGATGAATTGTGGACCACACGGATAACCAATGAGTGTAACCGTATCACACTCAAAACCCGCTGCCGCCGTCCGCCTGCCCTTATCGTTGCCAGTTCGCGTTGTCGTGGTTCGCGGACTTGGATCGTATACCACGGATAGAGCTTTACGGCGCGATAAACGCGTGCTACGAATTGAAGACATCATTATTGACGAGCGCTGAGGGGACTGATTGCGCGTGACATGAGTTTTGCGCGTGCGCATTTGTGCCCAACTCCCCTCGGTTATATTTGCTTCGAATATTTAGTCGGCAGCGCTATCTACAGTATATGATCTAAGTTCGTGGATTACACTGTCCGCTGGGCCCACTGTGTTTTTGAAGTCCCGAACAGATAAGAAGTGAAGCCGTTCGCGTCCCGTACATCATCCTCGTGCCTGCTTATCATTACCGCAGTAGAACGACGGGTGCCGCGTGTTTTTAAAATCGAACGTTTGAAACACGCGTATTCTTATCTGGTTGGTCACACTGATGCATGTTTTCTTAACCGTTGATAGGCGGGAAACAATGTATTCAAGTGTTTGTAGTTTATATGCCCAACAAGTACCAATTTATTGAACGAACAAACTCGTTTAAAATTTAAATACCATTCAACTGAACGCGTTCGCAGACACATTTGAACGCCATTTGAATGGTTTTCATTAGTAATATTTCACTCTTTTTTTTTTTTATGTAGTTAAAGTTTACTATTCCTATTACTGTTCCGGGCGTTGACGACCAATGCAAAACCATACAAATTGAAGTAGTCACCCAAGGTGATAAGCCAGGAGAAATAACTGGAGATCCAGTTTTGGGACAGTTAGCATGTAACCAAGAACAAAATAATGAAAATGTTCAAATTCAAGTAAGTTAAATAAAACATGGTAATATGTTAATCTATTCATAATATTATATAATTTATTTTTCTATTAGTTGGAACAAGAAGATGATGTTTTAAATTACCAAATACTTAATAGCAGCAACAATGATGCATTGGAATTGTTCAGTTCACTACAAGAAGTAATCAATTGCCTTTTAACTATGTTTTTAATTTATGTTCCATTTTTAAAATACATTTACCTATATATTAGAATAATATAATACAAGATGGTTCACCAGTAGTTCCAGAATGTCATAATCATCCAAAAATAATATTTATGTGTTCTACTTGTCGCAAAGGTAACTGAATTCTATGTTTATTACAGTTGGTTTTAGTTAATTTTCAACTGATAACTAAAATAATTGTATGGTTTTAGTTTTCAAGAATAAATCTGCTTTAAACAAACATGAGATTATTCACACTGGTATAAAAACTCAAATCTGCCATATTTGTGGTAAAGGTTTCTATTTTCCATATGAGCTAAAAAGACATATAAAAAAGCATAATGTCGAAAATTTAAAATATCGATTAGAAACTTTTCAACAAATAGTTAAACAATCAATACATAATTACAATGATACAATACAACAATCTTTACAAGAAGACCAAGTAATTAATTATCTGTTAACTATTTGAATTGTATATGTTCCTTTTTTAAATACATTTTTAATATATTAGAATTTGATTCAAGATTGTGAACCAGTAATTATGGAACAAAGCAGCACATCTAGCAATAGTATGTCATTTTCTCCATTAGCAGAATTGGAAAATCAAGATAGATATATTTAGATAGAATACTAGTTTTCTTAGTTAATTATGTAATAATGAATTTTTAAATTTGTCTTTAGGTAATCAATATGTAATGACTCATACATCCAACACAAATATTTATAACTCATTGTCAGATACATCAATGTATTATGATACACCTCATGAATACATTTTCAACTCTTCATTTGATAATACTGAAAGTGAACATGGTGATTTGATATCATCTACTACTCAAAATAACAATATTGATACTCATAAAGCTGACACAGATGATTATGATATAACTAATGAAAATGGCATCCCTATTCAGTTCATTTTAAATTATGCACCTGATGAGTATACTGAGAATACTAAATATTTTGAGCCTTCTGGTACTCAAGAACATGACAATACAGAAATAGAAATAACTGATAATCAAGTAGGTAGTTATAATTTTGTTGCTTTATGTATAAGTTATAAACTCACAATAGGTGTATTAGTTATAAATACATGGATTTGAATTTTAGATTCAGAGCAAAGCATGGGATCTATTGGCTTTACTATGATGTGTGTTTTTGTAATTTTTTTATTATTATTATTATTGTTTGTGTCTGAACAACTATTTTTCTAGCGGAAATCTTTCTCTGGTGTATAGAGTGTAGCACCTTTTCTGAAAGGTAATTTTGTCTAGTTGGTTCATTGGAAGGTTATTTTTTGATTTTTTAAGGGGTTTTCAAAATAATTGGTCAAAACCTGAAAGAAAATTATTGATAAAAAAACAGCAAATATTTATGGCAAGCTGTGGTGTTATCGATTTCATTGTTTTTAATTTTTGAAATTTATGTTTTCTACCAGAAATATTGGAGAAAAACAAGAGATCGATTTTAGTCTATTGATATATAGCCAGTGACAAAGAAAGTCATTTTTTGGTATACAAAATAATTTAATTCGGAAAACCAAAAATGATGAAAAATATGATTTTTTTAAAATTACAGCACAACGATTTCATAATTTTTAAAGTTGTATCGTAAATATTATATTGTTCCAATAGATAAACGATAAAAGATCTTTTTTGTTGAATTTTTAATCTAGTTCATGAGTAAGTTATTCATGTTTTGATTTTTTTTGTAGTTTTTAAATAATTAAGCAAAACTGAAAAGCATGTAGAAAGTACTGGAAAATTGATGAAAATTTTATAATTATTTGATTTTTTTAAATGTAATTCAATGAAAAATATTCGTAGAAACTTTCAATTTTGATAAAGAACTTTTATTTTTTTTTTTAGATATAGTAAAAGTTTTCAAAACATTTATGCCATTTTTGAACTATTTATAGACATATTTATTTTTCGAGTTTTTGGTTATTGTTACAGGTATAAATTATGTAATTTTATGTATCCTACCTTCCCAACTACCCATATACAATATCGGTTGTACTCGACCCCAGTATTGGCTCTTTTTTCCATTTGTTTCTCGGAATATTGTTCAGGTTTTTTATTTGTACTTTGTGAATTATAGAATAAAGGTGGTTTTTTTATATTCGTTGGTCATTTAATATATTTTTATACTTTCTGGGAGATTATATTTGAATTTTCATTATATTATCTACACAATTTTAGGCCAGAAAATGTATTTATATATTCAATAATTTATTTAATTTATTTTTTGAATTTGTATAATATTTAAATTTTATTTGCTTATATGATGACACTATATTATGAAGTCCACAATAACAATAAAAATCCATTGTATATAATACTACCGACTATATATTTGGGTACACAAAAGACAGGATTATTAATATTGTCAAATATTCACCTGAAAAATATACATAAAGTCGCAAAATAACATGTATTACTACTAATTATCTAAATATTTGAATACGATAAATTCACAGTATTTATATTGACAAAGTAACTAAAATTAATTAAAAATAAAAATTACACAGCATACAGAACATAAAGCAATGGAGACAAATCACTTTGATAGTGGTTAACTAATTTCGGAGAATTTGTTTTAAATTGGACGGATTTTTTTACACTTTGCTTACAATTGCTATTTTTATGTCGCCATAATAATGACAGGGTTGGTAAAAATATATTAATCAATTTTATTTTCATCAAATATGTATAGACTAAATTTTACAAGGCTTAGTAATTATGACAAACTAAGAAAAAATACATAAGTATACAATAGTTAACAATAAATGAAAAAAATCAAGGAATTTGTGTCATATGCTATCTACACCGAAAACGTATCTAACGCGACCGCTATCTACTCCATCAAGTTTGGGGTTTTTTTACGTCTCAAAACAACTCTTTTAACTTTTATTATTGTTGAAACACAATACTGCAAAAAAAAAAACCCCCTCCTTGAATTGGATGAAGTAGATATTTTAATATTCTATATCGGCAGACTATACATGTATAATATATTATGTTTATCTATGTTTTAAAGGCTAAACACATCTGGTGTAACGGATAAACTAGTTTATCTTGAAATTGGTTTTGACCAGTAATATAACATATACATTACTATTCCTATGACATATTAAGAGTACACTGTCAATATTAGTCAACGTCGACCCACATTTATTCCCAAGACGTTGCTAACATACGACATGATCATCATTTGTGTAAATAGCGTAGACACGAGTTCCGAAATTAATTATTTAAAAGAAAAAAAAATTTTCCTGTGTGTATCTTGAATTGTATGTTATTTTATTTTTAGGAAAATGGTCAGTTCACATTGTCCTCCTTGGATGAGATCCAAATGATTGAACATAACTCAGGTGGATAATAAAACTATTAAATATTATTTAGACAGCTAACTTGTTGTTTTCATGATTAAGTTACCTAATAATGAATCTTTACATTTGTTTTAGACAATCAAACCCCACATACATTTAATACAAATATTTCTGATCCATTGAAGAATTCTCTAAAAGACTTTTTAAACTTTTTACCTGATAAAACTAAAAGTGAAACTTTGAAGTCATCTCATGAAGATAGCAATAATATAAAAACTGATAATCAAGTAATTAAAATTTTAAAATTTACATAATATTCTATCATTGTGGTAATTAAAAGTATCACTAGATATTTTTATAAAATGGTAACTATAATAATTATGACAAATAAATTAAGGAAATAAAATATTGACAAATGGTAGAGTATCACCTAAACATTTCAATTTTAGCCAAAGTTAAATAAAATATTTTATTTGTATCTATAAGAAATATACTTATTCTGTGCTTTTACAAAGTTTCATTATTATTATTATTATTTTTTTTTACAATGCAAAAAGGTATCAACTGAACCTAAAAAAATTCAAATAGAATCTGCTACAGATGAAACTATGTTGTTAAATTGTCCAGAATGTAATAAAATTTACACACAAAAAGCAAAGCTAGAACAACATTTAATTGATCATAAAATTAAAAGAAATTTTATTTGTGAAATTTGTGGTGCTGGATGTAAACGAAGATCAGATTTGAATAGACATAAAATATGCCATAATCCTGATCTACCATTTGTGTGTAATATTTGTTTTAAAGGTACCTAATATTCTTGGATTATTGTAGTATTATTTGATTAATTTTCAACAGATGGCAAAATTAACGTTATATTTTATAATTTTAGGTTTTAAAAGAAGATATTCTTTAAAAGTACATGTTAAAAATCACTGATTTTTATTGTAAGAGTATTGAGTATTTAATGGTTTACACACGGAGAGAAATGTTTCCAAAAATAAAATTGTATTTTTTTTAGTTTATGTATATTAAGTATTTTATATTGTTTTATAATGTTATTTTTAATATGGGCTACATATTTGTGACCTTCTAATTAATGTTTTCATTAAATTTAAATAATCTTGTACACTACAATATATTATTTACTATGTATTGTATATTGGAATGTAAATAAAGAGATACATAATAATATCATTGTGTAAATCTTCATTGAATATTGAAGAAGACAATTTTTTTTACTCTAAATTAATTTTTGTTTGGGCCTTGTTGGTCAAACATATTTTTTTTTATAATTTCTACAAGATTAAATATTATTATTAATAATAGCAGCAATCACTTTTATATTATTATAATAATTTATATGTTAATATTTTATATTTAGCTGTAAGAAATTTGTTTTAAATTGTATATAGTCATGACATATTAATATTCAGGAGCGTCTTCAGGTCAATTCCATGGTGAGTGGGGGGCAGGGAACAAGTTTTACTCTTGAATACTTGACTCTTTGGTCAACAAAAACTTAAAACCTTTATGTCTGATGTCATTTCAACTTATATTAGCTCAGAAGACTACAGATATATTGTACAAATGCAATAAAACAGTACAATTAAAAAAATATATAGTAACCGTGCGAAATGATTAACAGATATATGTACCTACTTGGATAATTGCTGCCACGCGATAATAATACTGTGTGGGTCAATGCGGAAAGTCAACTTTCGCCATTTGGCCAGACGCGCGAGTTCGTCGTCGGGGTTAATCGTGTTAACTACAATTTTATATTTTCATCACAATTCATAATAATGCGCTAACGATAATAATATTCTTGTTGTGTTAGACGTGAAATCGCCTCGGGAGGATGGGGGAGGGAGAAGCATTTGTGTGTTGTCGTCGAATGACACCGCGCTTGTGTGCAGAAAAAAAAAAGAAAAGTGGACGAATAAATCAATTGGGTAAATCATTTTTAGACCTTATACTAGAACCGCATGTGGGCGCGTATACATGCAATCGTATATTATTGCGACTTTCACCCTTTGTCGATTTGATCCGGACGTGTTTTTTGTTACGATACATAAATAACAACTAAGTACCTGCCTGATAAGTAGATGTGAGAAAACTGTTTGCCCACGGCCTAACTTAAAACCAGACGCAGGCGGATATTTTGCGTTCCGGAAATTGAAGTTATCTTTAGCGATAATAAATAAAGCTGAAGGGTTTGTATGTATGTTTGAAAACACCAATCGCAGGAACTACTTGTACGGTTTTGTACAATTATTTTTGCGTTAGTTACCTTGACATAGCCCGTTTATTGAGGAAGGCTATAGGTACTTAATAAAATTGTTAACTGTACAGGTTTAAGAAACTGTGAATCGTATTATTTTTTTTTAATATTTATTTTCATTCAATACTGTCTCCGAGTATACAGCTATTATAAATACCGAGACGATCCAATAACTACTTGTCTATGTAAGTACCCATTTTAAATTTGTTTAGTAAAAAACGATGACCTGCGGGACGGTACTCGTGTCAACCTACTAATGTACGATTATTGTTTTTTTTAGATCCTGAGTAAACCGAAGATACGTATTAGTTTAAGTTCCCCTCGGAAAACGCTCTTTCGACGACTTGTAAAAAGACGCTTCATTTTTCACACCCTGAATTCCTGAAAAACCGTGAATTTTCGTCCGACAGTACTTTTTGTTTAAAACTTAACATCCTATAGATTCCCGACATTAGCCCATTCACGCGGTGCAGAGTAGGTACGTAGGTATACAAGTAACACATTCCGTATGTATAGATATTAAACTTGACATACAATCAAAAAACACTGCCGGGATACTTGTAATAAGTTTGACAATGTGATACTTTCTATTTTCATATAGGTATCTTTATATGTATTATGGACTTGTAGAAAAAAAAAGCGATGTTACCACGTTTTGCGACTATTTCTAATGGACTGGACGGTAGGATGACGAGGCCTACGAATTTTTTTATTAAAAGATCTACACCGTTTTTTTAAATAGGTATAGTAGGGCTTTGTCGGTTTTTCATCTCGAATCAAACCGTAGGCGAGTACAACAAACAAACAAAATACCGTAACTAAATACTGTACATATTTGATTTAAATATTAATATCTAAATATAATATTTTGTCGAAATCGGACTCCGTGAATAATTTTTTATTCGCGTTTCGTTTTGTTTTTATTGCGATTTACACGGTGCAACACCGGAGTCCTGTGGCAGGTGTATCGTGGTAGTACGTTAAACAAAGAATTTAGAATGAAAAAAAAAAAAACTGATTCCAAGTAACTTTTTTACAATTTCAATTGCCTAGGAGGCTAGGTACAAAATATTTGCTTTATTATTTCGTTGATTTTTTCAAACAACATAAAAGATACTTGAAGGTACTAATTGCTAATTATTTTTGTTTAATTGTTGGTGTTTTATTGTCCGCGGTAAGAAAAATAAATAAATACAAATATTTGTATAAATGGCAAACTGGCAAATTTGAATCTCTTAAAATTTTGAAGCTCCATTCACCTGTTAGTTGCGCTTCTAGATAAACCCGACACTGCCATTCCTCTTAATTAAACCCGTGGTCCGTGATTTCAATTTATCATTTTCTCTTCATTGATAATCTGTTGTCCATTATTTCATTACAAATGTATGATAAGTAATCAAAGAGTCAATCGGAGGATTTCGTTTGTGACTGGTGCTCGTTTCAAGGGACCGTCCAGACCTTTTTACCATACTAGATAGGTACCTATAATTTTCACAGTTTATTTTCGGAATTAATTTGAATGCAGTGTTTTTAAAAATGGCGAATTTGTATACTGAGCAGAGCTATTTTCAATGTCCCGAAGTATAACTGTATAAGGTACTTACATTAGAATAAGTCACTAAAATAACTAAATACCTCATGTCCTTGTATTATAAGTGACTTATGTATTGTGATTTTTTTTTACGATATTCAGAAGGTAGATAATTAAAATCTTACCTCTTAAAACATTAATAGATTGTTTTTTCTAGTGTTTCAGTTAAATTAGTCAAATTTATTAACCTTGAAAACTTGTTGCCGCGGTGATCGAAAGAGATAACCCAATTTATATATATACACTCATACCTACTCCGTACTTGTGTATAGGACGTATGAATAGGCATGTAAAATGAATAGTGCATTATAAGCGCTTCAGTGCAATTCGTGGGGGCAACTCGAATATTTGTCCTATAGTCTAACGCGTTTTAGCTCTGCCCTAGGTCAGCATTCTGATTGATACTCGGCTTTTGGGTCTGGTAAAAATGCCATTTTATCGAACAATGCAGTTCCTTATATCTTTTGCTCGTACCCATGCCCTCGCAGATGAGTTATCAGCGGTCAAATTTGCACGCATATAAACGACATTTTTTAATTTTTTTAAATAAAATTTAACCGCTTCGAGAATTTATACACCTAATTTTTTGTAAGTATCACAATAATTGCAATACCTACGACCTGTTTATTAAACACAAAGGGCAATACTCCGAGCCAAGCGATAAAATGTTGAGTAAATAACTCCACGTTAGTCGGCAAATTCGATTAGTTTGTCTTCCGGTCTACCTGTAATATTGAAATGACAAACATGTACGTTTTTCGGAACTTGTTTCACGGAAATTTAACGCGCGTACACAGGAAGCGCTTGCATAATTTAGTACGTTTGTTTGTTAGTTTTTTTTTTTTAAGTTTTTTACATTAAATTAATTTCACCCCTGAATTCGTATACGATCCATCGCGTCACAGTCGTCGGTGAGTCACGATCAAATACGTTTCAGTGTCATGACCAAAAACTAGTGTAGATTTCAAGGACATGAGCGACGGTCGTAGGCATACATAATAAATTATATTATTATAGTCGTCTGCATTGGACCGCGACACTTCCCCACATATTGTTACACCATCGGAAATATGCGCACCGAAGTATAATAAAGCCGGGACACGATTGCGTATACACCTATAGTTTTATTTAGTTTCACGAGTACGTATATGTTACACGTTGTTTTGCGGGAATCTGAGCGTATTGCCAGCTGTTTTACTACAATTGGTTTTTTGACGAACTTTCCTCCAAAATAGAGACTGTTGCGCTGTATCTGGTCGGTTTGAACTTTTAAAGTAGCTCCCTTAACCTGGCATCTGACTTTGAAATTCCAAAATGAAAAAGATGTCGTAAATTATTCACTTATCTGTTATTCTAAACTTGTAACACCATTTTGACCCCCAAAACTGTAGTTTTTAATTTCTGGTGCTGTCTAGGGCAAGTTTTTCCCAGCAACCGCTTAAGTAAAATTCGAAATTTGTAATCCCATTTGAATTGCCAAAATTGTTATTATTTCCAGGTGCCTAACCTAACCTAACAAATTATGTTCAAGATTTATGTTTAATTTACGTTTCTAATAATATAGTTATCAAAAACCTTATAAGTACTTGCGGAATTTTTTATGGGGAAAAAAATGCAAACAATTTTTTTCGACACACTGGTTTGTGAACTCAGAACCTTTAAGATGGTAATAGGCATAAATAAACATTAGATCACTGTTGAGATTCTGGTGTAAAATTTTTTAATTTTGTTCAGTAGTCCTGCTTGTACATATCTTTCTTTATTATAGCGGTCCGTCGGAGAACCATATAGTTTTGGTTTCATGCGGATTTATCGTGCCGGACTTTCTGGGCAGTCCGAATTGTAGTAGAAAATTTCGCGAAGGGGTAGTCTTGTTTTCATTTTTGTTTCTAAGTCTGCGCTGTGCTACCGCAGTGATAATATACAGTGTGTTATATGTATTATAGTATTATATAGACGAATGTGATATTATTTTATACCATTAGTGGTTTTTAAGGTTACGGCCATGTATAGAAGTGTCCCCCGGCATCGCGAGAGCTGCTCGTCCATATACGGACAAACAAGGTAAAGTCTGCCGGCGAACGGACTCGACGAATACTATTATGACTCACTTGTTGCAATAAAACATACACTGTACACGAATAAATACTCGTTTTCGTTTTTATCGGTTTTATTATTTTTTTTTTTTTTTTTGAAACAATATTTAAAGGGT